AAGGAGAGGCGATGTGCGGGTCGTGACGGATGCCCCGCTGTGGCCGATGGGGAGCGAGTGGGGACGCCGTCCCTGAACCTTGGGGGGGGGGATCTCTTTCCGTCGGCAGGTCCGCCTTAGGCGCAGGGCGAGGGTGAGGAGCAGAGCGCGCCTGCCATCGGGAGCGCGCCTGCAGATGGCATATAGGCAGCATCGCCCTCTTTTCCAGGGCCCGTGTCATTCCGGATCAGAACCCGGTGAGAGCCGCAAAGGCGCCCTCCTGTTTCAGAACTCTGCAGAAATCGGGTCGCAGAATCAAGGAGTTCCCATTTTTTCTAAGTCCACCAGAATCTCGCCCTCCACCCACCCCCCTGGCTCCACAACCCTCGGGGAAAAATTATTTAGTTAGTGACTATGATTTTTAGGCCGATGGGAAAAATGGTTTCTTCTCCCTCTCGGTGTCATGAGGTCTAGAAACTTGCAGGGGGCCATCCATTAAGACTTAGAGAATACATCCATTATTAAGCCTTTACACGACCCACTGAGACGAGCAGGAGGCTGCTTGCCCAGTTCTGCTCCCTGGCCCGCACGGATTGCGCGGGGACGCTTCCCGGATCTTTAGCCGCGCTGCCTGCGCCTCTCCCTCGCACGCTGGAAAACTTAATAAGTGGCGCCGATCGTCGGAGCCCTCTTGTTACCTCCGCGCCCTCCTCCCCAGTAAAATCGGAGCGAATAAGCTTTGCTTAAAGTTTACCGGAGGTTCCGAATTGCTGGGGAGGTAAAACGGGGGCGGTGTGTCAGAAGCCGGAAAAAAAACAACAACCCTCACGGACTACAAAGTCCATAGTGCCGCAGGCAGCAGGTCAACTGGGAGGTGTAGTAAAAATAAACGAACACACGCACACGTACACAGCATCTAGATTTGTAAAAACAGCATTTCTACAGAGAAGGAAGACCCCCCTTCAAGAATACTTCCCAGTCAGTGCGGAGGGAATGGACACTAAAAAATCCCAGGGAACCGCTAGGGAGGGGTCTCTC